CACCAGCAGTGACAGACCTGGGAGACAAATGAATAGAAATGCTACATAGCCAGCGGAAAAGGGCGGACACCAGCAGTGACACAAGGGCGGACACATCTCAAGAAAGAATTGAGAACCCCTAACAGTAAACTGTTTGGGGAATAACTGCACATCATAACTGCAAACAAGTAATCTGCAAGAGGCCAACGGGAAAAAGCTATGGGATAGTGGTCATCAAAAGTTGTCTTAGAGTACAAATTGTCTTAGAAAAGGTTGACTCTGCCGTGGACTCTACCCCAACAGCATGTAGTAGCAGGAAGTTGCCTGCGAGCCACACCGTTTCAGAACGGTCCGCGCTATGTGTAGCAAAGCAGAGCCTCAGACAACTCCGAACGCTAAGGCTCAAGGCTCAAGACACACAGATTTGTGCCAAATGATCTGATGTAGAACTAAGCAAAATAACGCTCTGAATGATCTTCTCGATGGATGTGCTGGCGATGGCAGCGGTCATCACACGCAAACCAAGCACTCAAACCATACATTCAAACTGTTTAAACTACACTGCAACAAATGAACAGCTGTCTACACAGTCTACACATGAGAATTGCAAAAGAATTGACGGACGGAGCACCGAAAAAACAGGCTGCAGCATCTTGTGGATTTTTGAATCCATCCCACGCGGAGCCACAGAGTAGAAAAGTCTCCCAGGCTCCTTTGTGATTTGCAGTTTGGAAAACCATCCGGAAGTGAGGGTCTCTCTGATCATCTCTCAAACATGCATGTACCCTCAAAGTTCCGAGGCATTTGCTAGGGCCTGAACAAAAAGCATTAACTGGTCCTGGATGTAAATCCTAGCACAGGGATCTGCCAGCACATCTGCCACATGGATCTGTCAAACTGCATGCCGACCAACGATCCACAATGGTTCGGCTTGAAACGGATTCCTGAAAGAGGCGTAGGATACCACGCTGCTGGTGGACGGAGCACTGCCTCGAGGCAGATCTGAACCGTGCCTGGAAGTGGACAAATCCTGGACCTGCGCTCCGGTTAACATGCTTGGAGGTTGCGACCGAGGCCCCACGTTCCCACCCCTTTGTAGCTGATTTTCTTGAGATTCAGCCTGGGACGATTGGTCTGGCGACACTCGTGATCACCTTTGAAAGCTGAACTGCCTTAACGCCGTCACTGGCAAACACAGTCAACCGCATTTCCTCCGGCAGTTGGTACCCAACCCGCAAAAAGCTTGCAACTAAAGTTGTTGTACTTGCGACAGCAGTTCAAACAGCCTATCAGAATTTGTACAACGCTCCACCCGGTCTCTCAAACAAAGGTTCGAGGAGCTCCATGGGGCTTCCTAAAGAGCGGCTCATTCTTTTCTAGCGACACTGTGTCCAAATGATATTGCAAAAGGAACCAAACTGTAATCTGGTCCGCCACACCATCACCTGGAACATCACCATGACCACCATCATAGAAGCAGCGCATGATGCGCCGACCGCTGGAGCAACCTTTGTAGTCAAAACATCGGAAGTTCTGCTGGCCGCCATCCCAGTAGCTTTTGGCTTCGGACGCGACCGTGTCACACTCGTGCACCGCGGCCCAGCCTTGCTGCACTTTGTTCAATGGCTCGTAGATCCATCCAGGCATAAAGCCTCCAGAAACACCACCTTGAGGCGGCATGATGTCATCTTGTCTTCCATGCAGCTGCAGCATGGCCGTTTGTCGGCAGCTTTTTGTGTCCCGCACTAGCTCGAACTCTGCACCCAAACCATAACCCAGCAAAGGAAGGCCATACCAAGGCACCACTGCCGCGAATGTGCCAGGGAGTGACTGAACCAAATAGTGTGCCAACATGCCACCATTGCTTTCACCCATCACATAAACACGAGAAGGATCAATGCAAAGGACTGAGCTCACAGCTTCGATCACTGAGTACACGAAAAGTCGCTCATCGTAGCAGCCAGACCAATTGCAACTTCCACATTTGCCTTGCTCCCAACAAGAGGCATAGCAATCTGTGGTGACTTCATCCTTGATGCAGGTCTGCTCATCACCTGCCGTCCCGACATTCCAGCCCGTTCCCAAGTCACCACCTCCAGGAACAGCATCATCTAATCCTTGTGGGTAGACACTGACAAAACCTAAGGTCTTTCCAAAGGTTCCAAAATAGCGAGAGGCAGCAAAATCATCAGCTTGGTCTCCCTGTGAATGAAGAGCAATGAGCAGTGGCACAGGCCAGCTCTTGCCGACACCTTTGGGCACTTGGATGTAGAAGGAGCGATTCACTGGCATGAAATCCATTAGCGTCAAAGGAACCCAACCTTCAAAATCCTCACCTTCTACATTTGTGTTTTTGCCTCCCAAGTCTGCCCAACTCTTCCTGGATGTTCCACATCCGAAGGAGCGGGGAAGTTGATCTTCACCGGCCTTAGTCGCATTTGGCAAATCCTTCAGCCACTCACGCTGCTGAACCTCCCCTGGAAGGTGAGCTGTAGAGGGTGAGCCCCACAGAAGGCTCACAGCGACCATCCAAATGCCCTGCATGTTTGTTGGCAAGGTTGGAATGAGAAGTCTTGGAGGAAAAAAATGCTGATTTGCCTGTGTGAGGTGTTCATGCTTTTCCGGAAAACATCACACTGCTTGAGCCATCAACTGTGCATTGCACCATATCTTCTTGGACTATCAGCAAAGCGAATCTAATGTGTTCATTGGATAACATGACGGCCAGGCCTCTCATCGTCACCTTCCTGGGCAACTGTGTTTTATTCCAAACTGTGGCTGCCAATATTGATATGTTTGATGTAAATGTCTCGCCAGGCCTCAAAAGAGGTAGCAGGATCGCCCATGGCAAGCTTGACACTCATGTGCCCTCTCTCTGCTTTGTCGAGTCCGGCGTCTGCCATTGTGTGCTTCAAATGTTGCAAGAACGACAGGATAGATCAAAATGACTATCTACAAAAGATATCATGTCCCGCATGCACACTGTGGAGTGCCTCTGAACTGGTCAAGGACTTGTAATTGATTTTTTCTCCCCAAAACAAGACAACGAAGGCGGCAAGTCTCTGCAGGGGCTTCACCATGTCGAGCAATTAGATCAAGCTCCAAAAACACCAACTGGCGCTTGAAACATGCAAAGTACGCCGGCACTGAGATGAGGACATGCCATCATTGGGAATGATCAGAATTAATCTCTGCTCAGACCCAGCACCCCAGAAGGCAGCCTCTTCTCAGACTTGGACGACCACAAGATTGGCGGCCAGTCAACGAAGTCAAAGACCACTTGACCAAGCTGCTTTCTTGTAAATACCATGGAAGGACGCGGCCTCCACTTCCTTACCATAGCACAGAACGCGCCTGAGTGTTGTGATTCCACTCTTCAGCAAGGAGCCCAGAGTGATTCTGCACACCTCTTTCAACGCTTGTCTGTGCTTTGAGACGCTTTTGGGTCTGGCTCGGGTCATTTTGACCAAAGAATCGACTGAAGGATAGCTCCTCTTGTACAGATGGTGACCGATGCGACCTTCTTGGACTCTCGTCAACTTGCAATTGAGCACCCACTTGAGTACCCATCTGGCCCATCCCAGTACCCGTCGTGCTGTCCTGCATCCTGAGATTTGGCAACTTCACTCGCACATCTTGCACATCTTGGATGTCTTGTACATCTTTGGCCGCTCTTTCATGAGCCATGCTGCTTGGTGGTGGCGTTTTGTCAAGAGCAAGAAAGCACGGATGGCCAAGCAAGACCCCTGCAGCATGTCGGTGCGAAGGATTGCAACAAAGCATGCCTGCCAGCAAGTTCAATGTAACTGTGTCTAAGATCAGTACCATTGACAGGTCCTGTCCTGAGCAGTTTGGAAATTTCTCGGACCAGTAGGGCAATCCTGTCACCCCAGGCCAAGAGGCCTCTGTGGGTGTTCCAAGCAAGTCGAACTGACAAAAAAGCATGCCAATCTCACACCTCGCAGGAAAAATTGGCTTGGATGTTGCCATCTCTGCAATGACGCAGCCAGCTGACCAAAGATCAACTGGCGTGCCTTTTGTTTCTGCGCCTAAGAAGATCTCGGGGCTGCGATACCAAAGCGATGCAACCCGTTGGGTCTGCTTCTCTCGTGAATACGTAGCTTCCAGTCTACTCAAGCTGAAATCACAAAGCTTGACTTCATCTGTCTTGAGTTTGATCAAGATGTTTTGAGGCTTAACATCCCGATGTGATATGCACCGTGAATGGCAGTGTGCCAGGCCACTCAACAGTTGAAATGCATATCGTCTCAGACTTGAAAGAGGTAACCTCCCAACCTCTTGCAGATGATTGCCCAGATCGCGATCCATTTGCGTGAATACCATGTAGACCAACCCACGCTCAGTAAAAACATCCAAAAGAGGTACAATGGCGGGATGATCACCTAGTTGCCTCAAGAGAGAAACTTCCCGCAACGCCTGGGAACTTGCACCAAACATACACATCCGCTGTTCTTGTAGAGCGGGATCAGCTGGTTCTTCCCCTGCCAGTCCGCTCTCTTCAAGTTATAATTATACTTAAATATAGATATATATATATTATATCTATATATCTTGGTCCCTTGTTAGTGGTTTCATACAAGCAATGAGCAACTTCACTCTGAACTAGTTATAGCAAAGTTTCCTTAAACTTCCTCAAGAATGTGTCTGCGCCTCCATCATTCAAGTAGGAAAATCTTACCTTCTTGATCGCAACAATGTTTCCAGTCTGCACGCACCTTGCTCAGATGTCAAGGAGCAAAAGTGCAAGACTTACACAAGCTGGGCAAGTGGGTGAGTTCATGTCTGTCTCAGGCTCCATCCGGTATCGAGAAACTACTCCACAGGATCCCTTGCCAATCGTGTCGAGCTTTTGGTACTTGTCTGGTGGTCTTGCCTGATCAAGCTGCTTGAAAGTCCAGAACGACCTACCAACACTGGATTTGTTACCTACAGGCATGCAACAAATCTCAGGCTCCCACCATGACGTACAAGCCCAAACATGCCCAAAGCTTGAACCAAAAGAAAAGGCGACTCTTACTCTTATCAATTCTGGTGATCTTTGACCTCCGAGCCTGGCCAACTTCATACAATTCGATGAATCCTGGGTTCCAACTACAGTAGATTTTGAGACCATCCTTGGATCCCAAAGTATCCTGCAGTCTCTAGAACATTACAGGCCACCAGGATAGCGGTGAAAATCTTCAATTGGTGGTGTTGCAATCCTTTGTCATTTACGCAAATGCGTTTGACTGTAAGAGCTTGCGTATATAAGTCAATAAGCGTCTTTGGGGGTTCGGAGCATCTTGAGCATGCTGAAGTCAACTTTCCTTGTAGTCTCCACCATAGTGCAGTGCATTATGACATGAAATAATCCCCTGCTATAGTAAACATTGAACTTCGAGTGGATCACAATCATTGGATTGGTGGTGTTGGCACAATGTCAGTTCTGCTACTGTTTTCATCTTGCATCGCTTAGGCACCCACAGTCCAAGGATCATTCCATGTCATTCCAGTAGTTTCTGGGTGTTCGTTCCAACATAATTCGGAAAGCGGGATTTGAACGTGGTGAAAAAGGCAGCAAGAATCAAAGCAAGAGGTTGAAGCAAGGCATTAAAAAAAGAAACATGCAAAACAAATGAAGCAGCCGAAATGACAGCAAATCCAAAAGGTTTGCATCACAAGTCATTGGACGTCAAAGGACTTGCTTACGACTCGAAACTTGCGATTCATTCACTGTGACGCAGGACTCATTTCCGCTTGCGCTTCTGCGTTGCAAGGAGAACAGTCACACAAAGCATGCCAACAAATTTGAGTATGGCAGCAGTGGTGCCCGAATTGGTGAGACATACACGGGGGCCTTTCTTCGGCTCAGCTTGCACGTTTTGCAAGAACCGGTACCAATACATCGGCAGCGGCTGTACTATTCGCAAGCAACAGTATGAAAAGAAAGCTTTGAGAACATCGAACATGACAGTTCAAATCGTTTGACTGAAGTCGTTTTCGATTGCGTGCGAAGTGGCTGGATTCTTAGTGCCCCCCTTCATGACACCCGACTCTCGATGGCCAATTCATTGACTGCGGCTAGTGCAAACCTGGACTGCTTGTCTTGTCAAGAGCCATCGGAAGCGAGTGACCGTGTGGCCCGCCACACCAGGTGCAGTGCGACCACTGAGTGAGACTTTCATCATGCACACTCTGTGCAATCTTCAACGCTTGCAGCAAGAAACGCGGGGATTCAGTGTGACTGTTTGAGAATTCAACTGAGCTCAAAATGGCATGGCGTTGCTAACATCATGTGACTCATGTTGTATGCGTTCTGGCCGAGTCTCACATGTAAGACAGTCAAGAAGCTGCTTTGACTGCTTCCTCAAGTTTGGCCTGAAAAGGAGAAGCTGGGATCCAAAGCACCGCTGTGAGACCCGGATCCAAAGCACCGCCGTCCAGCCTTATCGGCCTTGAGTTTCTCTACCTCAGTCCTGGAAAGGCAAAGCAAGAAACCTGTAAAACCCCCTGGACGGTTTGAGGTTGAATGATTTATTCTATTTTGTAGAAGCCACATTTTCTTGGAATGATCAGATTTGTTCAGCCCTGTCCTAAGCTTTGCCAGTTCTGCCTCGTCCACCGGCTGTCCAAATTCTCCACGATCATATTTTGTTTGGTCCAGGAGCCACTGGCAGAATTGCACACATCACACACGTTGATCAGGTATCCACAATCTAACCCAAACTGGAAGCGATGCTTTCGAATCAACTATTCTTTTTGACGGCCTTCATCATGAACTCTGCAGGGTCGTCTGGGCATTTGATGAGCACAGCTGTGACCAGCGCCTAGTGCGGATTCAACTCTTTGCTAGCTGGACTTGCAAGACTCTGGTGTGGAATGCAAAACCCACCTCCATGATAGGATTCATCTTTTCCTGCGCAGGCAAGACTGTTCAAGAATTTCCAGCAAAGTCTAGCAACAAGTGCCTTTTTGACTTTGGCCATCCAAAACCTGAAGCCCTAGTGTCTCAATGCGTCAACAAAGTCCGTGCAAGGGTTGCGCGGACATGCCCTGCTTTAAGCAGGCCACAAATTCTACCGCATTTGTGCCACTTTGGCTGAACTCTGTCAGCTTGGCGCCGTGGGCCGTGAGCTTTGCAGGCCCCAAATTCCTTCTTTACAATGGCCCTTCCGCTGCAGACTTCTGCAACTTGGTCGAACCTTCAAAATGGGCTCTGCTACCTTGACCATTTTGATCAAAGCACAAACAATGCAAGCATGGAGTGTCAGGGATCTAAAGGAGAGACAGAGTCAGTGTCGGGAAGAAATGCACCAGAAAGGGTTCGACACCAAACTACATTCCACCTGATGGCACTCGTCACAGACCGAGCAGCTCGGTCTCTGGAAGAACTAGACCCAACTCACTCAACCTGAGGCCATGCTCCGGGATCAGTGGGACGCACCGCACCTGACGTGACACGTCAATCAAATGGTTTTCAAAAAACTGCTGTGGCTCAGACCAGAGAACTCAAAAGGCACCGGAGTGCCAGGTGGCGCTGATTCCCATTCCTGGTGTTTCAGCACAAGATGCGTCAGGATCTTTGCATGGCTTGAAGCCTTCATCTGCAGTCTAGGGCCCCTTGCTTTCTTTTGCACCGGTCGCATGGCCTTGCGCCTCAACAAGGTCTGCTGATCGAGACTGTGTGAACATCTTGATTGCGAAGTGCGGTGGGATTTGGTGGAGTCCCTGTGACTTTGTGCTTGCTGGTGGATTGGGCGGACGGGGCAGGTAAAGGGTGAAGAAGTAGGGACATTGACAGGGAACGATCAGTTGGCTCAATCGCTTATAGAATGAGAAAGAGTTTGCTCTTGAGTTTGAGGCAATTGCCTACTCTGTGCCGCCTGTTTTACAGTATTTCAAGGTTGCAAAGTGTTGAGGCTCCGACCAGGGCGATGATCCAGCAGGAGAAATGCAAGGGCTGCGGCCCTGAGACACGTTCGCTTCGAAGATCTTCAAAGAGATTCAGAGTTCGATCAATGCCTCCTTGCTCACTGTCTGCGCTCGTTCAGCAGCAGAAGGTATTGGGAGCAGAAGGCGGCCCTAGCCAACAAAAAAGCAGGCTGTGGAGCCGTTCAATTCCAAAAAGCCACCTGAGGCTTTCGTTGTGGAGACGAGCTTCTTGATGGAGCCTGCCCAGCATAAGCGCAAGCAAATAGGGCAAGTTCTCACAAACGGTCCATGCTCTTCCTTTTCCAAAATCCCACCTTGGCACCAGGAGGCAAGGACAGTCCGGCTTTGCGCTCTGGGCTTGTACCGCGCTCTGATCTGCCAGACCTTCAATGTGATGCTCAAGGTCTCCACCAATTCTATGTGTGCATTAATAAATAAAGACACAAATTCAACAACAAACAGGTCTTGTACTACAAGGACGCACGCGTCCGCTACTTCAAAGATCGGCACCAAAGCTTCGGTGGCCTTGCCGGGCTATTTGAGGGGCTTAAGCTGCCCCTCACCGCAGAAAATGCCGCTGTGGCCACATTGAGGATGCTCGTCGGGCTTATGGGGGATACCTCGACTGCCACTGTTGCTTTGCGCGTGGTAGAATTGGTTCTGTGAAGTCTTAGCCCAACACATCTCTCCAAGTGGAGCGTGCTTCAATTTCCTGCTTCACAGTTTATGCAGAGTGGCCACTTTTGCATCCTTTTGTGCTATCTGCACAATCTCACTCTGCCTGCCTGTGCCAACTCATCTGCAAATTCCGCAACCACAGCCTCTGCTGCTGCTGCCTGTAAAGAAAAAAAACTTATATACATCTCATCCAGTGTTTCAAAAGTCAGGTGATCTGAATTAAAGGCTGCGGATCCTTCCTGGCCTCTGGCACTGGTTCCCCCTCTGGCAGTGGTGACCTCACCTTGGCTTCAAAAAGCCGTCAGGTCCAATTCTGTTGTTGTTCACTGAGCATCTCAAGTCTGAACATCTTTTTCATGCCTCTTGAGCCATGTGTGGAGTTCAGGATAATCTTCAGCAAAATAGCTTGATTTGCCATGAACTTAATTTAGGGTCTTAGAAGGCGCACTATTGCTGAAACAAAGGCACGGACCTGCTTTGAGGGAGACATACTTGATCCCGGAGCAGGAGAGTTCTGTCAAGCTCTCAAAGAATGCATTGGCCCATGAAGAAAACTGCAAGAGCTGATCCCTAGCAGTTCTGCCTGTCTGCACGACTTTGGACTGGCCTTGGTGGGCAAAGACCCATCCACACGTTCGCTCAACGAACAGACAGACTGAGCAGAGCCTCTGAGCCCAATGCGAACCCACTTGGTGGCCTCTTGCTCGGAGATTCCACTTGACAGCGGAGCACCTTGCGGCAACATGTGCATGGCAACACAGGGGTGCAGTTGCGCCGGTTGCAGTCATCACCGAAGACTAGATTGAATCATAGGCATGTGCACTCACTAGGGTTCAATGTGTTTTCCACTGCTGCGGCCTCGTTCTCTTTGCGAAGCTCGAGATTTTCGGCCAACAGCTCATCATGGGCTTGAATCAGATCAGGAAGATCCACCCTGTCAGTCTTTTACAGTCAGCCCGATTCAGAGCAAGGAGTACAACAACCCCTCCGGCCTACATCCAGACTGAGCGCGCGATAAGAAGACCTCAAGCCTCAATTCGCATCCCTTCAACACCATTCCAGTGCCAATCCTGCCAAAGGGCATCGCTACTAGGAACAAGAAGCTATTAGGGGCTCCTGGCCTTACTACTAGGAGCAACGACGCTACTAGGAAGATGCTTTTTGTCGCCCTGACCTTCCAAGGCTCACACGGTCCAGACTCCGCACGAGCCGCTGGCAGTTGTCCCCTGCCGAGCAAAGCCTCTAGGCGAAGGCTGCCTTAGCCGTTGATGCACCCTCTTCGGAACTCTGATGACGCAAGCTCTTCTGGGGCTGCGACTCCCATGCAAGCTGCCACCCTCGCGCTAAAGAAATGGGAACTGTTGAAGTGCTTTCAAGACGGCGAATGGTGCAGTCCTCAGCTCTTTCCAAATCGTCTTCCTCTTCCTCATCCTCAAAGTGAAGAATGAAAACTACTCTGGCCAGCCAGAGAAAAGATTGCAATCCCCACACCAGAGTGCAATCGGCGAAAGAACAAATTTGACCTGTCACACAAACGTAGTACATAGTCAAATGGCCTTCTCATACGGCATACATACATACATACATACATACATGCATACACAAGCTGCTTAAGGGCTTACGCCCGATAGCCGGCCAGGGGCCCAAAACAGGGGAAGGGGGAAGAGCAAAGAAAGTGGAAGGAGGGATTATTAGTACTGTCACAATTATCATTATTTTTATTATCGTTGCTATATTGTTGTTGTTACTGTTTTTTACTATTGTTGTTATTACTATTGTTTTATTACTACTACTATTCTTATTGCTGTTGTTGTTGTTGTTGTCGTTGCTGTCGTGGTGGTGGTTGGGGTTATCTTGGATCTATGTTACAGGCTCGAGCCCGTCTTGGACCTATGTTGGCCCATCTTAGGCTAGGTTGTGGGGTCTTGGGGTCATGTTGAACCGATCTTGGATCTATGTTACCAGCTCTGGGGCCTATGTTGGCCCATCTTGGACCCATGCTACAGCCATCTTGGACCTATGTTGGCCCATGGGGGGCCTATGTTGGGCCATCTTGGGCCCAGGTTGAGCCTATCATGTTGAGCCCGTCTTGGGCCTATGTTGTCCCATCTTGGGGCTATGTTGGCCCATCTTGGGGCTATGTTGCGCCCGTGTTGGGCCTGTGTTGGAGCTATGTTGGTGGTATTTTGTGCCATTTGACATACTCTTAAGATGCGACATTTTCCCTCCCGGACCCCCTCTCCGAGGCCCAAGCCACATAAAAAACACGGTTCTTGAACATGGCCAAACGAAAACCAGACCCCAGCCAAGCGCACGAAACACTGTAAAAAAGCGATGAACAACGCGCGCAAAAAACACTGTGAAACACGGGGTTGTAGGTCCGGCCCCCTGGGGTCTTGCGTAGTATCCCCTGGGTCGGCGGCACAAAATGCAGCGCCTCTCTCCTTCGGAGAGGAGAGAACCCTTCGGGAGGACACGCTACGGGTTCTGGGCTGGCCGGATTGCACCCGCAACAGCACAGCACCATGCAAGACAAAAGGGATGCAGCAGACGCACAACACAAAAAGAACTAGAATGAACGAAAGACACACCAAGAGAAAGAAACAAATGGATGGAATTCAGGATGCCAAAACAATTGTGCAGAAGTATACTACGACTATCTTCCACTGAGATCTGCCAGTGCGCTTCGAATGTCTTCACCGTCTTCATTCACCCCAACAGCGGACTCCCGACAAATGGTACAGGCTCAGTGCAAAGCGGCAAAGCCAAACCAAAGCCATGGAGACCGGGAGACCCATCTTAAGAGACATGACATCATGAGTCTCCAATCCCAAGAACACACGTAGTGTTGTCCAAGTAGGGTCTCTCAGGATTAATGCATCATTGCCCAGCGCATGAAATACAGTACTGACTGAAAGGAATTGTAAGCACGAACCAAAAATAACATCTGTTTCCAAGCCTTCACCCCTTGCAGTCGTACACGCAAACGAGGTCTTACTGGAGCGTACATCCTGGGAGCGAAACAATTCACAAAGAACATGGTGAAAAAAGTGACATCTACTCGCTTCCGCGACCAGAAATCGAGAACGATCAAAAGGTTGCCTTGCAGATTTCGTTTCACAAGGCAACTAGGTCCCAAGCATCTGCTGTGCCAAAGATGTTGCATTGCACTGGCACTCAGGCGGAGAATATCGTGGCCCTTGACCTTCTGTGATCTCCTGAGCATCTGCAACAATGATGTGCCAAAGAGAGGACAGTGCTGCATATCGATGTGTTCCAGCCTGCCAAACCGGCATGAGCCTCAGTGCTTTCTGACTCAGCGCGTTTGCACTGAATTCCACTCACAAATTTCAGTGTCACACGCGTCGAAAAACTCTTCCGGTAGAAACTCCTGCGTTTTCTCCAGTTCCATATGCAGCGCCTGTCCAGAGATCGGACAGACAGCGGGTCAAATTCCTGTGAAGCGATGGATGAGACCAGTAAAACCCCGAGTACTGGAGTTTTTGCGGGTGTCTTCTAGGGTCCAGGAGGTCCACAAGCTTCCATCATGCACTGAAGCACCATGTCCTTGTCTTTCTTGTTTGAGCCGCCCTTACTTCATCAAGTAGGCGCATACTTAATCAAGTAAGGGCCAAACAAGCTACTATATAGCTACAGGACACAGGATTAGCTCATGCTTCTTCAAGGAAGCTCCCCCAGCTTCCTTGAAGAAGCGCTGGCACTATTCATTTGGTTCCAGAGATAGACAGAAGAGCGCTCGGCCAAGGGACTTCGGTGTCTCTGGCCTTTTTGGGCAATCCACGGACTCGGCGCTCCCGTCGATCACCGACTCCTCGAAGGCACGACAAGAAGCTTCCAAGACCTCAAGGATCGCAGCGCCGCAGCGGAGCTTTACAGAGTGGCACTTGTTTCTACTAGCGTCCTTGCTACTACTAGTAAGGCACTTGTTCCTAGTAGCTTCTTGTTACTACTAGTAAGGCACCTGTTACTAGTAGCGTGGCACTTGTTTCTACAAGCTCAGGGATCTTGTTGGGTAATGAACCACATCTGTCACATGCAGTGCCTTGATTCGATTTTTCTGTCGACCTATTAGCCATTGAGTCTCAAGAAATCGAGGTCTGCATCTTTGGCATACCTGGTTTTCCGCAACCTAGCAAATTCACTCAAAATCCCTCGCAGCTTTGGCAAGGTAAGCAAGAAACACAGGAGACTCCAATAAAATTGGATGGAGAAGTTCATCCGTTCTCATCCTTTGGTTTCACAACCAAAACAGACTTAAAGTCTTCCCATTGGCTGCAGAAACTGTCGTAGCTTCTCTGCATGGACACTGCGAGTGGAAACCTTGGATGTAAGACGCTGGGAACACAACTTTGATGGATACAAGGGGGAGACAAATGGAGAAAGCACCAGTACACTGGCGCTTCAAGAAGCTTCTCTTTCTTCTGGAGTTGGCTCTCAATAGAAGCCTCAAAAAAGGGAGCAAAAACACTTGCGATTCTCCGATTGAGCCATGAAACTGAGGATCAGACCTGCCAAATGACCTGAGGTCATGATCGCGACCAAAGGTGTGGCACTTTCCCAAAATAACCAAACAAGACATCAACAAAAGCACCAAACCATTTTTACATAGTTGTTTACAATTCATTAAAGCAAGCATTCCTGAGCTAAGCTTGAGCCCGAGAGGCTGGTTTCAGGCCATTCACAACTGCTTCTGCCAGATCCTTGACAACTCGACGGCTCTTCGCGTCAAGCTCTGCAAAGACCTGACACAAGAACTCAACAGCGAAAACAAATAGCGAGAGCAACTTCTCATGGCAGTTCACATGCCATTCTGCAGCCATCAAACACAAAAACCCAAAGACATGGTGTCCAAGTAGTCATTGTCCTCACACCCGTGGGCTCGAAAACAAGCTCCGACATATTCGAATCAGTCAGAAAGCAATACAACACAAAATACAGCTGACTGAAAATCAGAAGATAAGGGCCCCTTTATATAATAAGGCCCCCTCAAAGGAGGCCTACAGGGGCCAAAATACCTTCGTGCTTCCTTCATTATTATTAGTTATTCATATGTATGTATGTATGTATGTATGTATGTATGTATGTATGTATGTATGTATGTATGTATGTATGTATGTATGTATGTAGTATGTAGTATGTATGTATGTATGTATGTATGTATGTATGTATATATATGTATGTGTATTGTATATACATATGTATAATGTATATATATAAAGACTCACCCCGGTTACTCCTTTTCACTT